AAAATTATAAAGCGATTCTCACTTTCTGTTGCAATTTTAACGAACTGTTCAGCTCTCAGAATAATGCGGTTAAGCTACCCGCTATCTTTGTTTAAAAGAAGGCGAATTTGTGAATTCACTTCAAATACGATCTTGTTAGATCTTTGGCTGTTCGATTCTCATTTTCTACCCCATCTACGGGCTCTAATTTTCCCCCACGCTCATGACGGAAACAGCTGGCTCGCTTTGTGATCGATGATGACTAAGAGAACCGTAGATTTATCAAATTTGAATGAAATTTATCTTCAATTTCTTTCTTTTTTTTTTATATTCTTTAATATATATATATATATATATATATATAAGAGTATTGTTAAGAAATGTTAGAATTTGAACTATTTAAAAAATTCAGTGTTAAATGAAAATATAATTTTTTTTAAAAGTATCGAATTTAAACATTGTATTTGTATGATGAATATTACTAATAATTAAGAAAAATCATGAATATATATTATCTCATGTTGTAATTTTTTATCTATTATTTTACTTGAACCCTAATTAAAAAGTATACTTAATAAATTATAAGAAACATAGAATATTGTTGCTTTTATTTAATATTTTGTTGGTCTATTATGCACGTGGGAAAGGGAAAAAATGAAGATTTTGCTATAATCAAAATATCTCATTAGAAAATGGTGTCCATCTATGTTATCTCAGGTAATTAACTTGAACCCTAATTAAAAAGTACTTAATAAATTATAAGAAACAGAATATTGTGCTTTTATTTAATATTTTGTTGGTCTATTATGCACGTGGGAAATGGAAAAAATGAAGATTTTGCTATAATCAAAATATCTCATTAGAAAATGGTGTCCATCTTATTTGAAAAATAAATATAATACATTTACTTTTTGGATTAATATAAAAATAAGTGTTTAAATTATATTTCTTTTTTCATTTAGGTATTTATTTTTTTTATCAATTTAAGTGCCTAATATTTTTTATGTTATCATTTAGGCGCTTATGTCGAAACATCAGTTAAAAATTATGTTAAAAAGAAGTTAACTAATCAATATTTAACACGTAACTTGATCTTTTGTTTTCTTTATTTTTAAAAAAAATAAAATTCATAAATTAAAAATAATCAATTTCTCTTATTTTTCATAAAATACGTCAAGTCCTTCAATTCCGGTACCGACCATCACCACCGCCGAATGCCGATGACTACCCACTCACCCTTGGCCTCCAGCCCGCCGACCATCCTCAAAAGGACAACGGTTCTCGCCGAATCTCAAAAAAGCTGGAAAGTACTAGAAACTAACTAGTTAGTTACATCGCCAGTTACCAATTAAAAGTAATAATTTACTCATCCTTTTGTAGATAATTAACAACTTCATTTCCGTTTACTTACAATACTTAGAAAAGGAGGATAAGATGACAGAAGTTAGTTAACATGTTTTGCAATGGCTTAAACCATATATGCGTTAGGATTCTGAAACAAAGGTTAAAAAGAGTTATAAGCTACTTCATTAAACCATATATGCATTGAATAAATTCAAACATCCATTGGTCAATTTTCAAAGGATCTGGATATTTCTGAAGAATCCAAAGTTTGGCATGAACAACATTTCCACCAGAAACAGAATCTTATTATTTTGTTCCAAATGGTGCCAAAATTCCCAGAATCTACACAAAAGGAACACCAAAATCTTAAATGCAAAAGATAAATCTTAGAACAACCAGAAATCATACAATCAACAACAACAAAAAGAAACCCGTCCTTCACCTGAATCAACAAATATAACGAATTTTCTGGAAAATGGTTATTAATCAAGTAACACTAGAAATAAGTCAACATTTGCGTCCTCCAGAAAAAAAATCCAGAAAAGTAAAAGACGATATTAGATATTTAACGATCAAAATAGCAAGACAAAGGTACTAAAGCGTGTAAATTTAGTTAGGAATGAACACAAGATTTTATTATAGGGGTGTACTTATAAAATTTAAAAAATATATAAATTTATAAAATTTTAGGTGATAAAAATAAATTTTTAATAAAAATTTTAAAAAAATTGTCTAATATATAAAAAATTTAAAATTTGGGGGACTGCCCCACCAGTCCCTCCTATGTCCATCCCTATGTTTAGCCTTTAAAAATCCTAACTTGTTACATTTCTATTGAAACCCAGAAAATATAGAGTAAAAAAGATCAACTTTAAACATTTTCAGGAATAAACACAAAAAAGAAAGAGGATCAAAGTTACTTCATAAAGCAGTAAAACAAGCAAATCGGATTCGTTAAATTAACAAATAAGGCCAAAAAAGCTGATAATTTTTTTGAGTGAGATTTGGAATGTCTTACTCTTGCATTTTCATCAGCATTTATCAAGACAAACTCATTCCTGCTGTGAGAACCAGCAATGAGTTGACTTGCAGTGTCCATAACTCAGTACACCAACAAAAATAAGAACAACCCAACTCAGAAAAACTCGGTCTCTTCTTCATAATGAAGTCAAAAACAATAGGAATACCAACAACTTCCTCTGAAAAAAAAAATTGGACCCTGACCAGTATACTGTGCCTTGCGAAGGTGGTGCCTTGTAAGAATGGAACAAATTTTGGGATGCATGCATTCCAATTTCGAAACGCACCATATTGGAACAAACATCGGTGCGCCATATTTTAACTGCAGTTTTTTTTAAGAATGCAGTTTTCTAGCGATGAACAGTGGTTGCCAGCAGTTGGTCTTGATGGTTGATGGGATGCAATTGTAAACTTATATAAATTAGATGTTTCAATCTTAAATAAATAAATATTACTAAATTAACTATAATAAGATTTGAATGCACGAAAGGTTATTATCAAGAAATAACTATTTCATATTTATTATTCAATTAATTAATATTATTTGTTAGATGTGGAAACACATTAAATATATTGATTTACTAAACCAACTCTTTAACTAAAATAAATATATAAAATGTAAAGAGAATTAAATATGAAGTTATATGGCATATATTAAGCATTAAACCATCTATGGTGATGTTGTCGAGAAGCACTCTACGATCCAAAAACAGCTCGTTATGGTCTAGTGAGAGAAACCGGATGAGGACTGGATATACCTCGATCATTATGCATATGTTTTCAATCGGTAGACTGTTTCGAGATTGACGTGGAGGCTGGCTTTGTGGTTTTTCAAATTAAATTTGGCTACACATCGAAAAATTCAAAAATGAATATTGCACGTTAAAATATATTATTAAACCGATGCATTGAAATACATTAATTAAATTAAAATAAGATAAAATTATAAATGATCATCAAATTATGATAAAATTCTATGTGTTATCTTTTATAGTTTTGTTTGAATTGTTTATATGCTGACATGTGCCAATATTTTATGAATTTTTATTAAGTACGTTAACGATTTTTCAGGGGAAAAAGTATGTTGACGACACTTTGTTTGTGCCATCGTATTGTTGATTAGAAAAACGAATCTAAATAAGGATGCGAGAAAAGAAAGAGAAAGAAAACTAGGGGCACTTCACTATGATGATAGGTCGAGTTCCTAATGACGTAAATACTTGCTCCAATTATCTTCTAAGTCCAAAGCATGAGCTTCATTAGTGAATAAAACCAAGGAAGAGAAAATATTCTTACGAAGGTAGGATGGAATTAAACCCGAGACCCCTCTCGGGCTTAGCCATTGAGCTAACTTAAACTTGAGATAATTGCACCAAATCCCATATTTGTTCATCTTTATTAGTGCCTTGCTAATTGTTTGTTCTTGGATTCATCAGATTCGTCATCTTCATCGGAATTAGCTTTCAGCGCCATCACCTGTACAACATTATTTGCAACTAGTTCTTAAAAACATAAGATCAAAGGAGCAAGCCCAACGCAGTAGTTAGTGAACACATGCTGTTTGAGCTCAGTACATTTGTCCACTATAAAACATTTACATCCGCCACATTCCCCACCCTCCTCTGGTTTACATGATATATTGTTACTTGACCTTCATGGCCCTTCTATTGGCTGACTTGTGTAATTAACATTTATTAATTGGCTCTTTTCTATTAATATAATAATAATAATGAATTTTTAATTTAAATAATAAACATTTACATCTATAAATAAAAAACAACCATATTACAATCAACTAAATTTATAAATGAAATTAATGTTAAATTAATATATCCCCATAAATTTTGGTCATTATGTTGATTTATTCTTACTCCACATCATCATATTAGATGTAAATAAATACTCAAAATTATTGAAGATAGATCTTGATTTAGTTATAATAATAATAGTTTATTAACGAATCATCATTATTAGATATATCTTATATTAGTATTAATGATGTATATACAGAGGCGGACCCAAGATAAAAATTCAGGGGTTGCACAGGATAAAAATTCAGGGGTTGCACAACAAAACTTTTATAAAAAATTTTAGAGGTTGCACAATATTAAAGGTGACACTTGTATTAATTAAAAAAATTAGAAAAAATTAACACTAAGTAATCTAAGTAGACAATTTTGAGGGGTTGTCTGGGATACCCCGGGCAACCACACACTCCGATATATTTTCTTTATTTAATAAGAATAATCATTACTATTAAGTAAAAAATATTACTGAGGAGTGGAATAAATTCGAGCTTTAAAAACAAGTAAACAAGCATAGTATGTGACGGGCGACCCGGTCTAGTTGGAAAGGATTGAGCATGACTGGACTTTCATGCTCTTTCTTTAGTCAAAAGATGAACAGTAATTACGTAAGCTTAGGTGGCTCCCCACGTACACGTATTTCCCACTTAATCAACCGCATGGTAGAAATCAGAAAATTTGTAGCGAACTAGTAATCATGATTAACAGGGAAAATTATTCCTCCAATTTATTTAACATTAATCCCATCATTCATAAAATAAAACCACTAAAAAAGACCCACCTTTATCAATCCAAAGCATCGCTCCATCCAGAATCTCAAACATAAAAAAGAAAGTCTGGAAACTACAGTATCTAATCATCATCAGAAACTGCAATTACATTGTCGTTTTGGCCCAGCAGACTGCTTATCGATCGAGCTTTAACCGTCCCCAGCTTCATCACTGTCTTCTGATCACTTCCTTGTTTCGACAATGGCGGTTGCGGATCTTCCTTCTTTGCTGCATTGCTTTTAACACTGGCGATACTCCTCAGCCTCCCTTTTCCCAAGTGATGCTCGCAGAGCGAGTAACCCACGAGTGTTTGTTGGCAACACCGCCATCCCCTTCCATTAACTCGACTGCACCTCGAACCTTCCATTAACGCACCGTTTCGACTTCTGAACTTTTTGCCACTCTTTTCATTATTATTATCGTTATCTTTCTTCATTATTCTTATTTTCTTCAATGGAAACGCCTTCTCTCCTTCACACCAGCTCCCCTCAGCTTTTTTCAATGCAATAAAATACAACGCCGTTCAATAATCAACATTATATTAAAAAACACACTATAATTTGATCTCATACCTTGATGGGATAGAGACCCCCTTCCTAGTTCTTCACCGGAAACACTTTTCTTCCTAGAAAAATATATATAAAATTAAGCAAACCCAGAAAGTCCATAGCCAGGTATTAGTTAAAATGGGGACCATTCCAATGTGCACCACATAGAAATATATATTAGCTAACCAAAAAGAAAAAGAAAAAGAAGACTGAGATTAGATTGGATGGGAAGCTGATATATATATAATAACCTAATAAAAACAGTATTTCCACTTAGTATTATATTTGATTATACTGTATTTTGCATTTTCTTTTCATTAATGTTGGTTAAAAAACTTATCAAGGAGTAATTCTTTTCAACCTTTTTAGTTTTTTACTACAACAGTTCATGAAGTAATAAAAAGAACATTGGCTGGCTTTCTTACCTGGTAGTGTAATTACTCCTCTTCTCCCCATTTTCTCCCCTTTCGTCCTCTCCTGTTTGCTTCAAAACCTACAAGAATAAGTTAAAAATACAAAGGATCTCACTTGGGTAAATTTGTATTTGTTTTTTTACCTAATATATGAAGCTTTCATGGGTGGTGCAAATTAGTCAAAGTGAAAAGAAATTTTCAGACAAGATGTTATTTTTATTACAGCAACCACTAGTGCACTCTTTTTAACAACCTTAAAACTATGATAGAAAAATGACCAAGTAATCTTTGAATCATTGAACTAACCGAGTGATCTTCTTTCTTTTTCAGCTCTTTTCCATGTGTTGCTCTTATTGTTGTTGTTTCAGGGACAGCAGATGAATCAAGGTCCTGGGTGGGTTTCTGTCGACGGATCGGGTGACTTGGTTGATCAGAAGGTGGAGGAGACAGCCACCGTTGCGGGTGTTGCACCACCGGAGACTTGTTGAAGTTGGGATCTGATGAAAGAGGTGAAATCGAAGAGAAAGTTTGCTGAATCGGTCTTTTTCTGATCCTCATAATCGATGAAATATATAATTTTCTTTAAGAAAATTCCGAAGGAAAAAATCAAGAAAAACCAGAGAAAGAAAATGAATATTTTTTCGGGAAAGAAATGGGAGAAGGAAGGAAAAGAAAGTGCAAAACCCAAATACTACAACTACTCTAACATCATCCAGACCAATAGTACGCGGTGAAGGAATCAGGAGAAGGTGATAGTGAACGGGGAAGCCAGGGTGGCATTGAGAGTGGGCAGTTTTATCGTTTATACCTTTTTGATGACATTGGTGGGTCCCTCTCACTCTACTCTTATTAATCCAAATTTCTATATTCATATACATTTATATTTAATTGGGTAAACTATTCATTTAGTAATTAAATTATCAGTTTTGGTTGTTTTAGTATTTAAATTTTCAATTTTTTTATTTTCAATTTTTTTAATCATACCTATCGTTTAGTTTGTGTTTTTTTTTAATACATCGTCGTTAAAAACTTAACATGTTTAGTACCTAAACACCAGTTTTGATCCGTTTTAGTACCTAATTTTTAAACACATAAATAGAACAATTTTCTATAATCATTGAAACAAAACTAGCAACTGAAGATCACGTAAGGATCATACAAGAAAATGTTAAAATTTAACCAAGAAAACTCGAACAAAAATAGATACAAACATATCTGATCATATTGGCAAACGAACCACAAAAAAGGATCAAGCTACTGAAAGACCACCGACAAACCGTAAATTAGACTTGAGCGACTTGAAAAGCTATTTACGAATGCATAAAAGATATCCAAATTCAATTCGATGGTCTAAAGCATAGAAAATCAATAATATAACAGATAAACGTCATATTGATTAGTCGTGGCGATATTTAATTAACCCTTAAAAAATATAAGTGAAAAACAACAATCAAACGACCGAAATATTGAAGTATCTCAAAGCTAGGAATTAGTTTTGTTGATATAATCAGTTAGAAGTGGTTTGGATGATTGTTAGCAAGCCACTTCCTAACTAATTCTCCCAAACACTTGTACAGTTAGCACGGTCTCCTTTGGAGATATTACGGTTATTTTTCAATAAACTCTAGAGAGTGCTGCCTTTCTTTATTCATGCATGTCTCCTTCCGGTGGCGAATCCAGAAATTTAATAATACGGATCTAAAATTTTAATTTTATTTTCATAAAAATAATGGATATGTAAAAATTGTAATTTTTTTCCTTTAACACATTAAACTAAATTTAACCACTTTTCTAAAATAATAGGATGCACTTGACCCCTATAGGGACTGAGTGCATTTGCCACTGTCTCCTTCTACTAGTATCATCGTTCATTCCCAGATTATAACACGAAAAATATATCACAAGACGGAAGAAAATGTGTCAAAATAATTCATATATAAATAATTATTACAAAATATAATCAAATTACTAATTTACATGTATTTAGAAAGACACAATCAATCTATAAACCAAAATATATTTAGACATAATATTTAAGTACTATAAACCTCAAAATAAGTGAAGGCTTCACTGACAAAATATGGGCGATTACTCACATCCAGTGATAAAGTTTAGGGAGTTTTTATTACTCCCACACGAGACATGAAGCCTTTAAGAACCTTATTTCCATTCAACAAAGATCTCGTCATCAAAAATATGTTTAAAGTGGTAAATGTTTAATGCTTTTTTATTACTTTAGTTTATTAATTAATAGCAACTAATTTTATTGACTAAAATGATAATAAAATGTGATAAGGTTAAAAAGCGGGAATTTCGGGGAAGTCTAAGGAACAAAAAAAAATTAATTTAAGGTTAAAAAACAGTGAATTTGGGACGTAACCGAAAACGCGATAAAAATCATAACATTTTAGGTTGAACGCAACGCAACTTAAAATGTTATATTTTTCTAACATTTTCAGTTAAATAGAAAGTACATTCTTCATAACATTTTCGTTTGACAACCGAAAGTGTTATATTCTTCGAAATATTTTAAGTTCAACAAAAAATATTAGTAAAAGTAATATTTTAGGTTGCGTTCAACTAAAAATGTGACTTAAAATGTTATGATTTTTATCACATTTTTAGTTGCGTCCCAAAATAGTAGTTTTTTAACCTTAAATTAGGCTGCCGCACAACAGAACTATTCTAAAAACTCAACTAAACAACTTTAAAAAAATTGATACAAACAAACACCATTATCGATGATAAAATATAAAGACAATAAACACTAATGTAAAAATGTATATAACAATGATGAAACGTTGATAAACTGACTTTATCATAACTCAATTTTAACTTATCATTGATGATTGTGAGTACCTATCAATAAAAATTAACTAACATGATGACCCAAAATAATATTAGATCAGTAAGATAATTAAATAAACACTAATTAAAAAGATGATCTCAAATTCAATCATAAAAAAAGATCAGAAGTGTTACAGGAGTAGACAAAGAACAGCTACAAGAGTAGATAAAAATATTCAATATTTTATATAAAAAAAAAAGAAGAAAAAATATATAAAAGAAGAAGAAAATTAAAAATACGATAAAAAAATCATGACAAAACTTAGAGATGGAAGAAAAAATAAAGAGAAAATCAGTGGTAAACGACCAATCAAAAATTAATGTCATTGCTTGTAATTAAAAAATAGAAAAAGGTGAGGCAGAACATAGATTACTTTAGCCTTTTTTAATTATAACTATTATTGATTTTAGAGTAAATTACATAGTTAATATCTAAACTATCAGTTTTAATCCGTTTTAGTACCTAAACTTTCAATTTTTTCAAAGTCATATCTAAAGTTTACATTTTGTTTCATTTTAATTCCCCGTTGTTAAAATTTTAACGTGTTTAGTACCTAAACTTTCAGTTTTGATCCATTTTAGTACCTAAATTTTCAAAAAAAAAATCCAAAACTTAAGTATGATTTAGGTAGTAAATGTTTTTTGGTACCTAGACTTTCATTATTAAGTATGGTTTAGGTATTAAACGTGTTTTGGTACTTAGATTTTCATTTTTTTCAAAACTTAACAGAGGAGTGCTAAAATGAAATAAAAATAAAATTTTAGGTATGATTTTGAAAAAATTGAAAGTTTAGAAACTAAAATGGATCGAAACTGATAGTTTAGGTACTAAATTTATAGTTTACCCTTGATTTCAATGTTAGACATACCATGATTAAATTACTCGTTTACGTAATACAATGATTAATGTTCAGGTTGATCATAGTGTTTAGATACTTCAACCACAATTCATAGTATGCATATCTGTATATTTATATTTGTCATATTTTGTGCTTTTATTATAATCATAAGGATATAATATTTATATCATGTTAAAAATAAATTTAATAAATGGCTAAAGTTACAAAAATAAGAAAAACTTCAAATCTTTCACATATCGAAATAAATTACACTCGGTATAAACTAGAATAACATGAATCATATTTATAGCTAACTGTTAACATATTTAGAGAATGTCCACAACGAATGTATTAAACACTACTACTGATATGGTCATGGATAAATCGGGTGAGGATGGGTGGGGTAGTTTTCCCCATGATTTTTTTTTTAATTTTCTTATATTTTAATTTTTTTCTGTATATTTTTCATTAATAATGTGTTTTCACCCTCCATAAAATTTTACAAGTTTGTTCATTTTAAAATTTTACAAATTCATCCATTTAACATAAAATCATGCGTCACACTGGATATGTAATATAAAATGAGACCTAAAAAAAGGGGACTAAAACGAAACTCTAGTTTAATAGGTGGATGTATTTCCTCATTGTGGTCCACAGATCAAAACGCTCATTCCTTTCTTGCCTGCATTTAATACAGTCTCATATGATTACCTTAAAATCAAGTTTGAGTGTCTTCTCCATAGCAATCTTCCCGCGGAGTTACTTCAGCTGAAAAATTGCAACTTTTCCTTTGATGTTAGCTCTACGTAAATGCATTTTCTCCCGTTGCTGATGTCATCTATCAGAACATTCAAATTAGTCTTTTTCATCTACTATAAGATCTTTAGGTTGTTCTATCTCTCGCCGGCGTCAGTGTCGGCTCCGGCAGCCACACTTCATTTGTATTTAGGATGCAACAAGCTGGACCCAAAGAAAAGGGAAGGGCATGGGTTTGCGCCAATAACAAAGATGAATCATGGGGTTGCAAAACGAAGAAAGAAATAGTTGGGGTTGGGACCATCTTCACGTGCTGATGTGCACCGCCCTTAACTTGGAGCCACATTTCCAGTTTAATGAAGAAAGGCAAGTCTAATAGTGTTTGTATTGGCCGCACTATAATTGATCTGCGTGCTACGTGATTTTGGCTTATTAAAGATAGGTTGAAAAATTAATTGTATTATAAGATGACATTTCGATTTAGATATGTTCGAATCTTATTCGAAAATTCGTTACAAGTTCACTAATATTCTGGACTTCAAAATCAAATGTGATTGCTTATCCAAAACGATTAGTTTTACTCCTCCTATCCTCTTATCAACTCATCTTATATCAATATTTACTTTTATATTTTTTAATACTGATATTTAAATTATTCACAATCTTCTCCCTATAAACCTCTAAGTTAAAAGTAATTATATTTTATTGACCAAGGTTTTTTGGCGAATAGGGTTTTGCCCTCTTTCTCTGTGTCTTTGTGACAGTTTCTAGGGTTCTGCCCTTTTATTTATTTTCTAATCTATCGTGAGTTTTTCTTCCTAGCAGCCACCTGCTTATTCGTTCAATTATGGGTGAACTAGTGCAAACGTTGGACAATTTGAATCAGGAAGACGATGAAGAAGCCCCCTTACTCCTCGCAGGGCAGGAGGGAGAGACAGGTATCTCCTTTGAAAATTGCTTTGTAGGTTTTTTCTTAACATCAAGCCAAATCAACTTGCAGGCCATGAGAACTATGATGGCTAATGTTTGGCATCCAATCGAAGGAATCTCGATAGCTAAATTAAGCGAAGGACGATATTTGTTCAGATTATACCATGAGATAGAAGCTGACGGAATAGACTCGGATGGCCCTTGGTATTTTAATTCCCATATATTGATACTGCACAGATTACAAGTAGGTGAAGATCCAATGTTTGTACCGCTAAATTCAGTAAACTTCTGGGTTCGCATCATAGACTTACCAGCAGGTTTCATATCG